TTCTGTTGTGTTTGGCGTTTTCTTTGGTTTCTTTGGCGTGTTTTCTTTTCTTTCACCTTTTTTTTTCCTTTTCATTTCTTTTATCCTTGGGGTTGGATGGACTGACTTTGGGATTCTGGGAATACTGGTTTGGCGTTGGATTTTCGGGACCATTTGGGTGGGATGGACAACAACAAGAGATACCCCTGACGACTACTAACAAGTTACCACCGAGAAATGTTGATCATGTCTCGCAACAATAATATGATGATTATTCGATGCCATCTATCTCCATATTTTTCCAATTTCCATACCTTGTATACTTGTACTTCCAGCCTATGCTGGACAAACCTAACTATTGAGTATTATTAGTAAGAATGAGGGTTACTTCTGCATAGCGTTTCATACTTCCTACATAAATCACTATGCAAATTAGTTAAGATCAAATTATGCGCTTAAGAAACGCCGCCAACTGGTCTGAGCGATGAACCAGATATAATTTAGCATCGCAGCTCTCGACCGAGTGAGCCAAATGACGTTGAGCGGGCTGCAGATGGCGTGCTTTCTCCTCCAGAATACACCACCTCGGGCCTCTCATTCATTAGCCAACTATGCCCAGACTAACTATCAATGTTCAGCACAAGATCAGCAGTCTGAATATCACTTACAGAGCAACATAGTTTCTCACCAATACTATGCAGGTCTTACTTATCATATCCAGGTAGTGGGTCTACTATTAAACAATCCATCATCACCACCAGGAACATCTACCTATTTCCCCCCACCCCCAAACTTTGTTAACTTTACTTCCTCTTATGTGGATTACTCCACCAATCTCGTCATCACCGCTCCAGATTGCGCATCGGCTCGTGGATGCAAATATCCCATAGCAGGCAAGGATTAGCCCTTCTGGACCCTGACAATGCCTTTCATCACGGCTGCCATGATGTCTGTTCCACGTGGAGTGCGACTCCAGCAGACTCTTATATAGTCCCGTCTCGTCGTCAAACCTAGATTGAATGATACTCTGAATAGTTCTGTCAGGAACAGTAATCCATACACCTGCTATGAGCAGCATGGCATCCACACCGGAAAAGACAATAGAGGCCGACGAAAAGGCCGCCTCCCCCAGCACAAGCAGCATCACCAACATCAACGAGAAAGCCCTACTTCGCAAACTAGACTTTCGTCTCCTCCCACCACTAACCATCCTATATCTCTTATCATTCCTCGATCGCAGCAATGGTACCCCCGTTCCCTCTTCCTTGCACCAGATAAAAGTCCCCAAAATCTAACCAATGCTTCAATTCCTACAGTGGGAAACGCCCGACTCGAAGGCATGGCCACTGAGATCCACATGTGTATGTACCACCCACCCCTCCCACCTTAAATCACAATAACCCTAACCAAACAACAGCAGGAGACCAATACCTCACCGGCCTAACCCTCTACTTCATCGGCTATGTCCTCTTCGAAGTACCCTGCAACATCGTCCTGAAGAAAACCACACCCCGGATCTGGCTCCCCACATTAACCTTAGTCTGGGGTGTTGTGGCGACGCTTCTGGGCGTAGTGCAGAACTATGCGGGATATCTGACTTCACGAACTGGTACACCTATCCCTCCCTAACCTAAATGTATCATAACATGTACAATGCTGAATATGTGATAAAACAGCCCTCGGCATAGCAGAAAGCGGCCTCTTCCCCGGCGTCGTCTTCTACCTATCAATGTGGTATAAACGCAACGAGCAACACTACCGCGTAGCTTTATTCTTCAGTGCTGCTTCATTAGCAGGTGCTTTTGGAGGGATTTTAGCATGGGTTGGTCCACTACCCCTGTAATCATCGCCTGATCTAAACATACTAACAATGAATACAGGGCATAGCCCACATGAAAGGCGTAGGCGGATACAGCGGCTGGAGATGGATATTCATCCTGGTACCATCCCCCATACCCCCTCCTACAGCCCTACCTCAAACCCCAACTAACAGAAAGGGTGCATAAAGGAAGGACTCCTAACAGTCCTCATGTCCATCGGCGCCTACTTTTGGGTCTACAACTACCCCTCAACAGCCGAATTTCTAACCCCCGAAGAGCGCCAATTCATTCAATTCCGTCTGAAGAACGACAACGACTCTACCCGCGACGAGCAATTCACCTGGAGTGCCGTCTTCGACGCCTTCAAAGACATCAAGGTCTGGTTATACGGACTGGCCTTTCATACGATGTCGCTTCCACTCTACACTCTATCTTTATTCATGGTGAGCTAACCACAACCCACCCCCATTGCTTCCAACAACCCGAACATGCATAGCACTCACTAACAATCACATCTATATAAAAATATAGCCAACAATCATCTCCGCCCTAGGCTACACATCCGCGCAAGCCCAACTCCTCACCGTCCCGCCCTACGCCGTCGCCTTCGTCCTAACCATAACCGTCGCCATTCTGTCAGAGCGCACGCACCGTCGCGCGCCCTTCATTCTGGGCTCCACGGCACTAGCATGCATAGGCTACATCCTCCTACTAACTGATCATCGACCCGGGGTATCCTACCTGGGGACGTTCTTCGCTGCAGCGGGGATCTACCCCGCCGTGGCGATCATTTTATCGTGGCCGGCGAATAATGTCTCCGGTCAGACGAAGAGGTGTATTGCGAATGCGATGCAGATTTCCATTGGGAATTTGGGCGCTGTGTTGGGCACGCAGTTGTATCGGACAGAAACCAGTCCGAGGTATTTCCTGGGTCATGGGTTTGCGTTGGGGTATTTGGTGGCCAATTTGGTGGTTGTGGGGGTGTTGTGGGAGGTGCTGAGGAGGGAGAATAGGGTTAAGGCGGAGGTGAGGGAGAGGGAGGGAATGGAGGCGTTGATGGGGGATGTGGGGGATGCTGAGGGGGACTTTTTGGGGGATAGGGATCCGAGATGGATTTTTCAGACGTAGTTTGGGTACTGTCTAGTTATTTGGAGGTATCAGGGTTAGGATAGTGGTATGACTCTCTTATACGTTCAATCAAGGTGTCTGCTTCGTGTTCTCGTTTTTGAAGGGTTTTCAAGTAAGGTGATATGAATAACCCTAAATCGCACGTAGCTGGATAAAATGAACCTCTTAGCAGCTATGAAGAATAGTTGCCCTAAGAATGAAAGGGCCAGCTATAGCAACCGGGTAAGTAATGCTCATTTAAGCAAAAAGGCTGCAAAAAAAAGGCACCAGAGTGGAAGATACGAGTTTGCGCGCATCTACTCGAGATCCCTTCCACAAGTTTTGTGGCTTCTTCTGGCCGGTTTTCCTTCAGTCCGTTCCTCCATTGTCTGCTATCACATAGTATACCATCTCGACATCTACTCCATAGTCTGTCTTACCATCGTCCCTTTCTCCCCTTTCTACCACGCCTATTCGAGGAAATATATGGAAGAGGATCAGAGCCTTGATAAATAATAGATAACGTACAGATCATCAATCCGCCTAGGGAGTGCGCTTCCAGGCTACGATTGAACCTCAGCCTTGACAAACGAAATAAACTGTAACAGCATCATTCCATCATGCATGTAGGACCAGGGTGGTGAGGAGTACAGCACATCAGGCTAGTCAAACTGCATTAACGGGACCAAAAACAGTGAGTGTACATGCTTGTATGTACGTGCGAGTGTTTGTGTGTGTGCGCGAGAGAGGGAGGAGAGATGAGGAAAGAGAAATAGATGGAGGAACGTATCTTGAGTTGCCTAATTCGGTAGCCCTGTCCCAAGGCCAATATGACTTCCCAAAAGAGACATCTTTAGTCACGACTTCGTTCTCCTTCTCAGTTCCTTCCTCTCTTGTTCTGGAGACATCATCTCCTGGTTATAAAGAGAACGATGGTTTCTCTCTTCTTGCCAATCTCTTCTGCAACATTCCTTTCTCTTGATTCCATCAACTTATCGTACTTGTTCATTCGCTACAACTTGTTATATCTTATATCACCATCATCACTCTTACTATGGCAAACCAGGGCCCCGAGAACCCGAACGCCCGAAACCAGCCCATCCAAAATCAGCCTATACAGAGCCAAACCACCCCAAATCGGCTTCGCTGGTGGAGTTGGACTGACATCCGCATTCGCCAACACCGCAGATTGGTCGAAAAGCACTACCCCATGCCAGAAGGCGGACCAGCCCATGCCAAGGGGACCATAGAAGTCCAGGCGCGACAAACTGGACGCAAAATACGCGTCAATTGGTACTGTGGAATGGACACCAACAGCGCTGCAGCTCCAGTCATCATCCATCTCAGCGGCAGGAACTTCTGCGTCAAATCTCATGGCATCGACGATGAATTCCTTCACCTTGTTGCACGTGAAAATAGCCCCTTCGTAGTCCTCGACGTTGAGTACCGTATCGCCCCGGAGTACCCATACCCTGCGGCTCTCGAGGACATCCAGGACGTATTGCAATATCTCAGGCGCCATCCTGACGACTACGATCTCGACCACTTGGCTATCTGTGGATTCGGTGCTGGAGGAAATTTGGCCCTGGCTATGGCTATTAGTTCCCCCCGGGACACTTTTGAAACCGCGGTTGTGTTTTATCCGGCCACGGATTTGTCGTATCCAGAGAAGCGCAAGATTAAGCTTATGGAACCGGTAATAAGGAGGAAAATGAGAAGGGGGACGGGTGGAGTGATGCCAGCATGGGTGATGGAGTCGACTGTCCAGTCTTATTTGCGTGGGAACCGTCCTAACATCGTGGAAGATCCGAGGCTTTCGCCTATTCGCCAGCAGGACGAGACTAGATTTCCGCGAAGGTTGCTTTTCATTACAGCTGAAGGGGATCCGTGGACCGCGGACACTAGCACGTTGGCAGCTGGGTTGATATATGCTAGGCGTCGGGATCCGACAGCATTGCCAACAGTGTTTTATCAGGAGATGCCTGGCGTAGGTCATGCTTGGGATAAGTATAGGAAACTTGATGCGAATGGATTGGAACAGAAGAACATAGCGTATGAGACGGCGGCGCGATTTTTGAGAAGAGAGATCGACCCATGACATTCATGCATTCGTTCAGTTGTTAGTGGACTCTATGTGGTATTATAATTATCTCTAGGTTAGGCTAGGCCAGCTTCGGCCAATATTTCTGCACCAGCGTCTTCTTGTTCACTTTGCCCATGGCATTACGTTCAATCGCTTCCACCAACTTCAATACCGTCGGCACCTTGTAAGGCGCCATCTCCTGCTTGAGCTGCGCACGCAGACTCGCCAGTTCCAGGGGTTCCGTCTATATCAATATTAGCATGCACTCTCTCAACCCGTAACAATAGAAACATCAAACAAGATAAACTTACCCCAGACCGCTGCTTAACTACGGCAGCCACACGCTGTCCCCATTCCTCATCCGCCAACCCCACAACCGCCACCTCCTGGATAGCATCCAGTCCCAGCATCTTCCTCTCCACCTCCAACGCCGAGATCTTATACCCCCCAGACTTAATCAAGTCAACAGACGCACGACCCTGAATAAAATACGCGCCCTGCGCATCCCGTCTCGCCACATCCCCAGTCTTGAACCATCCATCCTCAGTAAACTCCTTCTTCGTAGCCTCCGGCTTACGCCAATACTCAATGAAGACATTGTCACCCTTGATCTCAATCATCCCATCCTCATCCACCGCATCGACCACCTTCCCACTCTCCTTATCCGTCAACCGCACCTGCACACCCGGCAACGGCCACCCCACGCTCCCGTCAATGCGCTTCTCCGTCTCCAAGCCACAGCTAATCGCCATGCCGATCTCAGTCATTCCAAACCGCTCGAGAAGAACCTGTCCCGTAATGGCGGCGAACTTGCTCTTAACCGGGGTCGGCAGTGCCGCGGACCCGCTGACCATAAGACGGAGGGACTGGGCGCCAGAGCGGGCGGCGGTTTCGTGCTCGGTGCCTCGCAGGTGGGTTTCGAAGTAGTCGATGAGGCGGGAGTAGATGGTGGGCACGGCCATGAACATGGTGGAGCCGCCTTCGCGCCAGCGGGTCCAGATCGTGGCGGGGTCGAATTTCGGGTGCATTTCGACGGTGACGCCGCTGAGGAGACTGGCTGTGAGGCCGTTGATGATGCCGTGGATGTGGTGGAGGGGGAGCACGTGGATGAGTCGGTCACTGGGGTTGTATTTCCACGCTTCGATCAGGCATTGCGCTTGGAAGGTGATGTTCTTGTGTGTGGTTACGCAGCCCTTCGGGTTGCTGGTTGTGCCGGAGGTGTAGATCATGAGGGCACGGTGGTTCAGGAATGAGATTGGGCTGATGGTTGGGAGGGTGATTGCGGTGGTGGTTTGCTGGTGGGGAGTGAGGGGTTTGAAGGGGATCGGTTTACTGATGCTTTCCTTCAGGGGGGTCTCGAAGTGCGCGAATGTTGGGTGCAGGAAAATCAGGGAGGGGTCGGAGTCTCCGATTGTGTAGAGGAGCTCTTTGACGGGGTGGGTGGTGCCTTGGGTTTGGTGAGGTTAGTGTTTGTCGTGTCTAGTGAGGCGCAATTGCTGGGTTGAAGTTGTCTGATGCTTGTGATAGTGTAGGGATGGTGTGGACATACAGAGAGGGACGGTGACACCCCCCGCGGCCCAGACGGCCCATTGCGTAACCACGTAGTCGTAGCCGTTGGGCGTCAGGAAGGCGATGCGGCGCTCTTCTAGGTTTCCGACTTCGGTGAGGCCTAGCTCCTCCAAAATGACCTTCTTCAGGGCGACCGCATCGGCTAGCAGTTGTCCATAGGTGAATTCCTGCCCTTTGGTGGCGTCCACGACGGCAATCTTGTCGGGAGTGTTCTGCGCAAAGGCATTTGCCTGCACGAACAAGGGCAGAGAGGGAAGGGCTGTCAATGGGAGGGCCTGGTGTTCCGCATCTTGCCTGCGCGAGCCACGTTGGATGTGAGCATTACTTAGGGTTACAAGTAGCCGCGGATAAAGGCTCGGGAGCGATACTCACCCTTGTATAGATTGACCATTAGTGAGTCCCATGTTGATTGATTGATGTCGCGCGGGGGAGAGATTGTACTGATTGAAGGGAGGAAGAAAGATTAGATCGGATAAAAAAGCGACAGACGAAAAAAAGAAGCAAGGAGCCCCAGAAGGGAGCCAATAGAGGGGATGAACCCACTTGCTGTTGAGTCTGCACGCAATAATCTTCGTCCGCTGCTTATCGTTCGGAGTTTCACGCGGATTTTGTAGCCGAAACTGTTGGGGTCCGCCGCTCGGCTTCTAGATTTGGGGCCGAGGTGGAACTGTGTCCTGCCATGCCCACTTCATGTTGTTGAAAGCATTTGTTATCAGCTGTGCTTTCAGTTGCTGGTGAGAGGGAGTATTCACCTCGTAGGTTTTCATGAAGTAGTTGTTTCTGGTGACAAGCAATGAAGATACCATCGTGTAGACTATCGTCTCAGGTATCTGACGTCAGATCGTGTCCTAGTCATCCGCCGTGAGATGGCTGCCAGCATACTAGCCACACTGTTTTCGGACAAGTAGCGAGTCATGCTAGATATAGCATCCACTGACACCAACAATGAATGTGGAGTGATCAGTTCAGTTGGCAGCTCGACTTCGAGGGAGACATCAATGAGCAGTCTATCTTCACGTGATCACACGTGCCCGGGATTGGCTCGATGCCGACTTCGGAGATCTTAGTCTCTATCCCCGCTTCAGTAACATGGTGCAGGTAGCTCGAAGGACAAGCATCTGCATATCTCTGCTTGTAGTGCTTTCTCAATCTTGTCGATTGCAAGTTTTCCATTCAAGAGAGGTGAAATTTGTGCGGGTATACACGGATCCGTTGAACGGTAGTATAGCGCCATATACACGACTAAGCTCGGCGTTCATGGGTATGAATATAACATCTAAAGAATACAGAATAGAAGACACGAACATAGAGCCATTCTGGAGCACTCGCGTGGGGTCCATGTCAAACAGACTGAGCATAATAAAGTGCACAAACAGGCGACGCAGAACACACATCATCAAATGTAGCCTCCTGAGGCTAGTGGTAATGAACAGAAAAATAAACAATATACACGCGTCACTTAGATAATTGCAGCTGCCGCTGCAGTGTCTGCTAACCCAGAAATAAGGGACTCAGACCGTGTCATCTGCGGTCGCTCGGTGAACTCCTCGCCTGTCTCCAAGTCCTTTGCGACGAGATCGGTAAAGTCAACGCCCACCTCGGTCAGCTGATCGGCTTGCTCGTGTACAATGTCAATGCATTTCTGCCAGACAGTCGTGCCGCGTTGGACGCTGCTGAGTTGGCGGGTGAGCAGGGCATTGAAGCCGTCGAGGTGATGTTTAGCCCAGCGGATGCTGGCACTGGACATGACTGGCGGAAAGCACTGTTGGTAGATGCTAATGGTGTTCTTAATCAACGTGAAGTACACGTAGGAGATCTGAAAAATGTATAGGGGGAGGTCACCCTCAAAGACGCAGGCACTGCAGAAGGTTAGTTGTTCGTGCTGCTGATCGAGTAGTACGGGGAGACATACCGAATCCGTTTGGAGACGATTTCCGAGCGGGTTTTCAAGAAAGCTTCCCGGGCTTGATCTTCGAATCCCAACCGCGTGAGCCAGGAGACTCTGGTTTTGGTGGACACAGGAAACGAGTGGGTATCCACGAGCGCTCGCAGGATAACCTCCGCCAAGGTGGCTGCACGCTCGTCGACCTTCGTGTTGATCACGTCCTGCGCGATCGCGTTGCCCTTCAGGCCCTTGGCGAGCTTGCGAAGCCGCTCGACGTTGGCCACTGCCTCTTCAAACCGCTGCAGGGCAATGTCAATATCCAGCTCGTCCACCTGCCCGTCAACCCAGCGAAGATTCTGTTGCTTTCCGTCCACATCAATACGCACCTCCGGCTTGTCGCGGGTGCTCTCGCCGCCGTCGTACTGATCCGGCATGGGGGAATGGGAAGGGCGCCGGACGCCCAAGTAGCCAAATGACTCGGTGGACTTGCTTGCGGCCTCAGTCTCTGAGCGGAGCGTACGTCGGAGATCCTCGACGGTCTTCCGGAAGGTCGCGAGCAGCTCCCCTTTAGCCGAGCTGTCGCGCTTGTCATGGCGATAGGTAAACGGTTTTCCGCCGACGCGGACGTTGATCGCATTTGCTATTCCCCGGTCTTCGGCTTCATCTCGAGCGACTCCCGCGGAGAGATTGGCACCAAGGTCGATCATATCAACGTCTTGTAAGGGCCAGCACTCTTCTGCGACCAGCTTGGTGGGAACCGGCCCGCGATGGCTGCTCTGGTCCACCCGCTTGCGCTTCTTCGCCGCGATCAGCAGGTGGTCGTTGAGCAGCACTATGTGAACTGGTCGCCTGGGCTTCCAGGTTGCAGAGTCCAGTTCCACCCAATGTCCCGTCTCCATCACGATGTGTCGACCGGGAACCACCGGTAGGAACTTCTGAGAGCCTTCCACCGTCTTCCAGAGGGTCTGGAGCTGGACGTTCCACATACTCTCCAGATTAGCGACAGAACTGCGGTTGGCATTGCGTTTCGGCATGTACTCGTCAACGGCTGGGGACATGGGATTCGGGGTGTTGCCGATGGTGGTCTGTCCGAGCGCCGTGGTAAGCTCCGCCATCAGAGTGCGGAGGGTCCGCATTTCTCCTTTAAGCTTCTCCGCCTCCTTACTGATCTTGATGAATTGAGTGCGGTTCTGGTAAACATTTTGCTGCAGATCGGTCGAAGTTCGGTTTTTGACCTTCCGAAGACTCTTCTGGTATGCCTCGATTTCCTCTTCCGAGGCATTGGCGAGCAGGTTGGCAACGTCTGACGTAGATTGGTGCCACGTTAGCACCCGTGGGATTGGGGAGTCCGCGGGGACATATGTCGGGCGTCACTCACACTTGTCAACTGGGAGGCTGGGATCGCGAAGGGCATTTAAGTCCACCTTGGGGGGACCAGAAGACTCTGTGGACGGTCTGCGACTCGTCTCGGGTGGGCTGAGCCCGCCATACGTGGCTGGTGCCTTGGGCAGGCCCGGCACCGGCGGAGCGCTGACATCGAAGTCGGGGACCTGATTAAAACGAGTGGAATAACGGCGCTTGACTAGATCAGAGGTCGCGCCCTTCGAAGGGGCCCGGTCCAGGGATGTCGAGCTGGGAGAGGAGGTATTTTGGCCTGGAGTACTGGCACCCTTACTGCCGTTACTGGTCGGCAAAGGGCCGGATATGGGCTTCGGAGCACTGATCTGGGGGCGGGGCCGGCGCGACTTGCTGCGAAGGGTCAAGCCACGGCTCTCCATGACTGGCAAGGAGTCTATGAGAAGAAAAGATTGAGCCTGCAATCTCGTGGAAGGGGCGGAATGCTGCGAGAGAGAGGAAGTATAGAGAGAAGGGGAGTATGGGAGGCAGCTCAAGCGGGACAGAAACCCCGAGGCGGAACAACATTGATCCCGGCAAAATTATCCGGACAGCAAAAGAATCGCCGTCATCTCTTCACGTCCGCTTGTTTGCCTGTCTTGCTTCAGCTCAAACCTCTCCCGTACCCTCCCCCCTCGACGTCGTCTAGTTCCCTCTCCTTGGTGGACTTTCCCTTTCGCCGCTTCCGTCTCTTCCCCATTTTCACACTCCATCCAACTTTCATCATGAGGACGTCGACCTTGATTGCCGCTACTGCCGGCACAATCGTCACCGGCCTTCTGGGTAAGGACACCAGCCCGGCCATCCACGGAACCATATACCGAAGTTCTCCCAACTAAGATGCTGATCGCCTTCATTGCCCTTTCTAGCCTACGCCGTCTACTTTGACCACAAGAGACAGACCGACCCGGAGTTCCGCAAAGCTCTCAAGAGGAACAACCGCCGCATGGCAAGGGCTGTCAAGGAGGAGGCTGAGGCCCAGGGTGCCATGCAGCGCGAGGTCATCAAGAAGGTTGTGCAGCAGGCCAAGGACGAGGGTTTCCCCACGGACCTGGAGGAGAAGGAGGCCTACTTCATGAGCCAGGTTGCTCAGGGAGAGTCTCTTGTTGCCGAAGGTATGCATCCCCCGACATGACGCGCTTCGAACACGTCCCCTACACCTTCTATGCATTGGCAATTCACATACCAACTGTATTACAGAACCCATTGAGGCTGCCCTGTGCTTCTACAAGGCGCTCAAGGTCTACCCCCAGCCTAAGGACCTGATCTCCATCTACGACAAGACCGTGCCCAAGGAGGTGCTCGAGATTCTGGCCGAGATGGTCGCTCTGGACTCCGGCCTGAAGCTCGGCTCGTTCACCGGCGAGAGCGCTGCCCCGGAGAGCCACGGAGTCGAGTAAATTCGATTCCACCATGACTTCTGATCCCCGGCCTCCCCATCTCTCTCCCTCTTGCTCCGTTCACCCACCCGCCCTTTCTCCGCATCAGAACCTTGGCCTTGAACGTGTGTGTCTTCTATAATAACCGGTTCACGCTGGGCCGTGGCCTGGTCCTCTGGCAGTGACGGAATCATCGGAAATCGGTGTCCGTCTGCCAGTCACGCTTCTCCCCTCTCCGTTTACCCATGTACTTCCGCATCATTTCCTTTCCAGATTTCCCTGTATATGTGCATTGTGTCTTGGCCGCCGACCGGGCGGACATTTTTGGAATTTTTCGGCGCCATCACTGTGTTGTTTCTTCACCTCACCTTTTTCTTATTCTCGACCGGGCCTGAACGGACGGCAAATGATCCGAGTCACTGGGGCCGGTAATAACTTCTTCCCGAGGTTTTCTCACGATGGGATGAAAACCCGGGTATGTATTCTTAGACGCACGAACATGTAGTAGTTGAGAGTGCACGAGTCACTTGAGCCGAAAACGATGATTTGTTTGATGTGAAACAAGCGAACATGAAATGTATGCAGTATGGGGAGCGGTGAGCTGTGTGGTGATGTGTTTATAAGTAGTTGGTGGTAGTTAGTTGTGGTGTGCACGGTTATACATTTGTCTGTACTAAAGCAGCTCCGAAACGGAATTGAACCAAGCCAACAAACAAGACATGCGTAATCAGCTCATCCTCTTTTC